GACCTCTGGAAGAGCAGCCGTTGCTCTTCATCTCTGAGCCATCTCTCCAGCTCATGTGTGAGCCCTATCTTAAAACCAAAACTTCTGCTCCATTCAAAGTAGCTTGAGGACATCTCCAGGGCTTGTAACCACCCTGGATATGATTCACTCCTTTGTCCAGGGCAGGCAGCCTGGGAATGACATCTGCCCTCTGGTCATACAGTAATTGTCTTCCTTATCAGATCTAGGCTTGAAGTCTAGCTGTTTTCTGTGGTTGCATTCAAGGAATGCTCGTTTTCCTAGAAATTGGCCTCAAGTTCAAGTGTACAGATGCTGTATCTTCTTGTCTTTTTGGCTGAGATGAAGGGCTGTAAGAATACTGATTCTGGCTTTTCTTTTCTTTCTTTTTTCCCCCCACATATGTATGTGTGTATGGTAGGCATATCTGTGTGTGTGTTTTGTGGGTTCACCTGTGTGTGTATGCATGTGCACATGGAGGTCAGAGGTAACACTAAGAGTCTTTCTTTGCTTGCTTACCACCCTATTTATTGAGACGGGCTCTCTCAGTTGAACCCAGGGCTTGCCAATATGGCAAGTGAGCCAGCTTGCGAGGGGACTTCTGTTACAGGGATCCACTTGCCTCTGCCTCCCGAGTGCTGGGATTAAAGTTATGTGCCACCACCACCCAGTTTGAAAGCTTTTTCTTTTCTTTTCTTTTTTTCCCTAGAACTGGTTCCGTAGATCAGGTTGGCCTTGAACTCACAGATGTTGGGGAATATTATTTTAAGGTGTGTTACTTTTGTTTATGTTGCGTTAACTCTGTGGAGCTGTGTTACTGTGCCTGTCTAAAACACTTGATGGTCTAATAAAGAGCTAAATGGCCAATAGCGAGGCAGGAGAAAGGATAGGAGGGCCTGGCAGGCAGAGAGAAGAAACAGAAGGAGAAATCTGGGAGAAAAAGAAGTAGCCAGAGAAGGAGGAGGACATCAGGGGCCAACTACTCAGCTACACAACAAACCAAGGAGTAAGAGTAAGATTTACAGAAAAGAACAGGAAAAGCCCAGAGGCAAACAGTAGACAGGATAATTTAAGTTAAGGAAAGTGGGCAAGAAACAAGCCAAGCTAAGGCTGGGCACTTATAAGTAATAAGCCTGCATGTGTGATTTATTTGGGAGCTGGGTGGTGGGCCCCCCAAAAGAGCAAAAACAATAACACACAGAGATCTGCCTGTCTCTGCCTCTGGAGTGCTGGGATTAAAGGCGTGTGCCGCCACCCAGCTGAAAGCCTTTTCTTTAAATAAAAAATTTCAAGTTAATTGGAAAGCCATGACGGGTACACATCTGTAATCCTTAAACCTTCAGGAGACTCAGACAAGGAGGATGGGATGTTTAAAGCCTTCTCAGGCTACAACGTTGAGTTTGAGAACAGCCTGAGCAATTTAGTGAGACTCTGCCTCAAAAGAACCTGTAAGTAAGGGGCTTAGGAGACAGCTCGGTGGTGCACTGCTTTGCCTAGAATGCTGGAGGCCCTGGGTTCAATCTCTACCTCTAAAGCTGAAAAAAAAAATTCTAGAATCTCCAGTAAGGAGTCTTTTCTCTATTAAACGGTGAAGGAAAATGATATCACCAGTGTCCAAAGATATTTATATATTATTTATTAGTATTATATATTTATATTTATATAAGACAGGTGGTGCACACCTTTAATCCCAGCACTCAGGAAGCAGAGACAGGCATATCTCTTTGAGTTCGAGGCCAGCCTGGTCTACAGAGTAAGTTCTAGGACAGCCAGGGCTACACAGAGAAACCCTGTCTTGAAAAACCAAAAGAAAAAAAAAACCCAAAAAACAAAAACAAAAAACCCACAAAGAAAAAAAAAAGATATTTGTATATTGAAGATGAAAAGGGTTTTAACCTGGGGGTTGAAGACACGAACAGAAAATTTGTAGGCCACTGTGACTTGTCATGAAGCACTAAGCATCTATGAAGACTTCAGACCCGGCATGTACTCAGAGGCTGACGAGTAAGGGTCGGAAGTTCGAGGCCAGCCTGGGCTACAGAGTGAGCCCCATTTCAAAGCCAAAACAAAACAATGACATTCAACAAGTCTTCTCCTGAAAGGATTGAGAATGTGGTAAGAGACGAAAACCGTTTACTGCAGTAAGGGATGGTTACTCAGGAACCAGTTTGGACTGGAAAATACAAGTCGCTGGAGAGGCACTGCTGGCCCTTGAAGGAGCTTGAGTACATTTCCAGCAGTGGAAAAGGCTGGCTGAAGATGAAGGATGCCATCCAAAGCCAGCCTTTCCCTGTCAGGAAAGTGGGCAGAAGGGTGTGGATAACTTTAGTATTCTGAGTGATGTTCACATAGATGTTATGATAGTATATTGTTACAAATGGTTTATCATTATTAGTACTGTTACTATTTCATACAAGGTCTCAGTATCCCTGGCTGGCTTCTGATTCTCTGTATAGCAGAGGATGTCGCCGAACCTCCCTCTTCCTGCCTCCGTGTACCAAGGGCTGGGGTTACCCATATGTCCCACCATGTCTGGTTTATGTAGTGCTGAGGGTAGGGGTTTGTGCATGCTAGGCAAGCACTCTACCAACTAAGCTACATCCTGGCCCTAAATCTTCAATTTTAGTATTACTTATTTTTACTCTTATGTGCCTAATTAAAAAAAAAAAAAAACAACTTTGTAATGTTTCCTTTCTTTGTTGTTTTGAGAGATGGTCTTACCAGGCAACCTTGGAAGCCCTGAATTCCTTACTTGGACCAGTCTGACCTCCAACTTGTGTTCATAATCCTGCCTCTACTGCCTGAGTGCTGGAATTTCAGGCGTGTATCACCACACTCTGCAGAACTTTTGTCCTAAGCATGTATAGGGGGAAAAAATCATAGTATGTAAGTTTGGACTGATTTCAGGCGTGGATCTCAGAACACAACCCCCGCTGCAAAGGAGCAGGACTCTTGTTTCGGGAGTTTGGAATTTGGTTAAATATTCCAAAGATCAGTGAAATCCCAGCGCAATGAGAAAGTTGTTCTTTTGACAACTTAATGAATAGCTCTGGACAGAGCCGACAAAGTTGAGTCAGTCACAATCGGATTAGGCAAGTGAACGAAGGGTGTAAATATTGTTAGGGGGAAATCGTAAAAAACGTAGGCGGCTTCTGTAATCAGATTGCTTCCCAGGGATCCTTAAAGACTCCGTGGAGTGCAAAGAAATCCAACATGGAGATTCTAGACGAGGCTTTGTGGGTGCGGTTTCATGCAAGAAAGTCGAGCAGGGAACGCCAATCCTTGAACCCGAATTCAAAGGCAGGGTTTTGGAACTACATCAAAAGACTGGCTTGCACGGAAAGTTTTCCAGCAAGCGACAAAGAGGCTGGGAGGCTGGAAAAAGCCTTGTGGCCGCCACCTACCGAGAAGCAGCGGGTGGGGGAGGGCGCCCGAATATTCGGCTGGCGTAGGGGGTGGGCAGAAAAAATAGGAAAAAAACAAATGAACAAACACTACAAATTCACTCAATTTAGTGTTTTGCATTAACATCCAAGTTCTTCAGACACGGGCTTTTTAAACTTTTGGATTTAACTTAGATGCACAGTTAGTTGTTACTCTCGAAAGTCACTGATCTTATTAAACAGTTGAGAAGTAAAAATAAATTTAATGGACGGAGGAGGAGCTTTAAGTTAAATCTCTTTGCAATTGTGGGAACAGTCGGAATTGTTCCAATTTTCTTTCTAACTGTAGAGGTGTGCAGAGACTCGAGAGAGGAAAAGTGGAAATCACGAGTTCCCCACCCCCTCCCATCCGTTGCCTGTCCCAAGTTAGGGCAAGTCCGCTCTGGTTTCTTCTAAAGCCAGCTTTGAAAACATTGAGTTCTTTGTGTCCCGGCGCTGGGGGACTTCCCTCTGCAAAACAGGCGACAGGCCAGCCCCGGGGCTCCCCTGGTCTTTGCAATGCCCTCCAACTTTGCAATTTGCAAGGGAATGTAGGCTGCGAAGAGTTATTTAAGTGGAAGTTGTGGCCTGGAGCAGAAGCAAGGTGGGGAGGGCACCGCGATCTAGATCTCCGTTTCTTTCCACCCCACTCCCCTCCCCCATCCGAACGGCCGCGCAGGCCCCAGGTGCAGCCATGTTCTTGCTCCCACCACCCGCGCTCCTCCATTGACAGTCCTAGCCGGAGAGGGCCGGGCGCCGCGGCGCTCCGGCTCGGCCTAGAGGGGGGCGACGGGGGAAAGAGAATCTGGGTTCATCGCGCAAGGCTGCCTGGGAGTTATAGTTCGGGGTACCCACCCGTCGCGTAGGTGAGCGCCAGTCTAGGACTACAACTCCCGGTGGGCGGTGCTGCTCGCGCGCACGCGCAGCGGCACCTTCGAGGAACAAAAAAAAAAAAAAAAAAAAAAAAAAAAAAAAAAAAAAAGGGGGAAAAAAAAAGGAGGAGGAGGAGGAGGGTGAGAGAGAAGCTCGGAGAGCAGAGAAAAGGGGGCACCGGCGGCCCCCCCCCCCCGCCGCCCGCTTCCCTGCACGCGCTCGCCGCCCGCCTGCCGCGGTTACCCCCGGGCTTCGTCCCTGGTTGTTGTTGTTTTTTTTTTTTTTTTCTTCCCCCCCGCGTGCGGCGATCGGAGCGAGGAGTGGAGGCCCCGCCGGGGGCGGCCATGCGGCGGTGACAGGAGCACGGCCGAGACGCACGGGGCCCCCCTCGCCCTCTCACCTCCACCCCATTCGCCAGCTCGCCTCAGCCGAGGCCCCTCCGGCCTCCGCCCGCTTGCTGTCCGCCTTTCCCCCCTTCCCCGACCCTCCCCGGCTGCACTTCGGGTGAGTCCCTGTCCCCCTCCTCTTCCCTCGTGTCCCCCACCCCGTCCTCCTCCTCCTCCTCCGCCTCGGGGTGCCATGGCGAACAGGGGCGTCTTTATTCGACACTTTTCTGTCCCGTGTCCCCCCCCCCCCCCCCGCGGGGGTTCGTGTGCACCGACCCGGGTGTGAGAGTTGGGGGGTCGCCGCTCTGGCGCGTTGGGAGTGACGGCGGATGGGACAACTTCGGGGTGAGGAGACGGACGCGCTGTGACCCTTTCCCTCCCCTCACCCCCCTCCCATCGTCGTCGTCGTCCGTTCTCCCCCCCACCCCCACCCCCCAAAGTCCACTCGACTTGGGGGCCTTGGCCGCGGACGCGACGCGGCTCCGGGGGAGGGAGGGGGAGGGGGCGGCGGAGGTTGCGGGGCGTGTTGGGGGGGGGAGAGGGAGAGGAGGCGACAGTTGCACGCGCGCACCCGCGCGCGGTGCGTGGGGGTGGCGGGACGGTGGGGGGGGGGCTCGCGGCGTTTTGCGCGTGCGTCTCATATTCTATACCTGAGCTCGTGTGCGTGCATGCGTGTGTGCGTGCGTGAGTGCGTGCGTGGTGGTGGTGGTGGTGATGGTGGTGGGGGGGAAGGTTGTTCGGGGGAGGGGGTGGTCTCGCGCGCGCGTGGACGAGCGAGCGGACCCCGCGGGGCCGCGCAGCCCCTTCTCCTGGGCTCCGATTGGCCGAGTCGGGCTCTCCGGGGGCGCGCGCCCAGATGGGGGCGCGGTGCCAAGGGCCCCTCCTGAGCCCCGTGGGGTCGCGCTCGGCCTCGGTGTGTGTATGTATGTGTGTGTGTGTGTGTGTGTGTGTATACGTGTGCGCGCGCGTGTGTGTGTGTGTATCTGTGGCTCGCGGCTCCGAGGGCAGCAGGCGGCGCGCGATTGGCCGGCGGGCACGGCGGGGGCGGGGCATCGGTGCCCTGGTAACTGCGGCGGGGGCCCTGGCAGGGGGGCGGGGAGCTCCCAGGCTCCGGAGCCAGCGCCCGCCCCGGCCTGGCCGGTGCTCCGCCCTGCTCCCAGGTGGAGCCCAGCCGTGGGCTTTGTCCCGAGCTGTTGGCTTGCGGATCCCGCGGGGCTCCAGGACTGTTTTTGGGGGGTGGGGTGGGGTGGGGTGGGGGAGAGGAGGAGATGGAAATAAACACAATGACCGGAAGGAAGACCTTAGCCTTGAGGCTATGGAAATAATCAGTATGGCTTGGGCAAGCACCCAGACGGCGGGGTTAAGAGAAGGGATGGGGGGGAAAAAGTTTACTTCTGCACCTCCGTTTTTTTTTCTCATCAAGTTGTTGCCTTTTGGTGGGGGTGGGGGGTGCGGGAAACCTCAGGATGTAGTTTTGGCTGGTCTGGAACTCAGAGAGTTTCGCCTGCTTCGACCTCCCGGGTGCCAGTGCAACCACGTCCTGCCCAAGTTTGTTTGTTTATTTATTTTAAATCTTTGAGTAAGGTATTTTGTAGCTCAGGCTAGCGTGGAACTCGCATTGTAGCCGAGGCTCGCCTTGAGCTCTCGATCCTCCTGTCTTCACCTTGTAAGTTTTGGGATCACAGTTGCAGCGCCCAAGTTTTGCTGTTGAGTGTATCCCCCCCCCCCCCCCCCCCCCCCGCCTCGCGGCTTTGTGCTCCTTGGCTGCTGAGAGTGCAGATCTGAGATGGTGCTGGGGGGAGCGCCGGCTGTGTTCAGGAACAGGAGGTGAAGCGAGGTGCAGTGACCGTCTCACACCGCCTGGTTGTCTCCGGGCGTTTCCAGGGCAAAGGGGAAACTAGTTTGCAAATAAGGGGGTGCAGGTACGGTACCCACAAGCCTTGGTTTCGGATGTGGAATGGCTGATATTTCTTTTCAGTCTCTTGCCTCGGGCTCCTTTGTTGCCGGAGTCCCGGGATCTTGCCTCACTCCCTGGAGGCACGGGAAACTTTCTCACTTATCTGCAGTCATTTCTGTAAGGCCTTTGATGTGTCACGAGTTGTTTTCTCTTTCACTCTGTTAAGATATAGACCACCCGTTCTCTGTTCTTCGGGTCATCCTTGGGCATGATGATACCCATGTTTGCCATTTTGGGAGACGAAACCTAGTACGTGCCTTAGGCAAGCACTCTACTACTGAGCACAGCTCCCAGCCCCGCCCACCCTCCCCCATCCTCACCCCGTTTTATTTTTTGAAATAAGAGTTTCACTAAGTTGCCCAGGTTGGCTTTGAATTCCCTCTGTAGCCCAGACCATCTTTAAACTTGGTAATAATTCCCTGTCTCAGCTGCTTGAATAGCTGGGATGATGGACCTTGGGGGAGGAGGTTAGGTTCTGCCTTTGTCCCTTTGCTCTTTTTATTTTATTTATTTACATATTTCTTTTACACCCTGGCCCCAGTTTCCCCTCCCACCTCTCATCCAGCTCCTCCCACCTTTGTCGTCCCCCCCCCCCACTCCTCCCCTTCTGTTCAGGAAAGGGCCAGTTTCCCATTGATATCAACAAAACATGCCATATCAAAGTTGCAGTAAGACTAAGCACCTCCCCCCTCCCCCCAGTGTCTCATTGCTCTTTAGGTGGCAAACTTGGGTTAGGTCCTTGTCCAGTCCCCATGTCCTCTGCCAGGTGCCGGGTTTATAGTGCCGCGCAGCTGTATTTCAGTATGTTTTTTCAGCAGCAGGTGTGCGCCTTTGGCCAGCAGTCGAGAAGTTAGGTGCTTACTCTCTGTAAGACCGGGGCCACGTGACTTCATCGGGGCGGCTCTGGTTCTCTGTCCCACCTCTGTCTGCTTCTGTAGAGGATTGATGAGGTCATTCCAGAGGCTGGGGTTCTGCAGGTCTGGGTTGGGGCCTTGACCGTGTCTGGAATTGTGGGTAGCCCAGGCGGGCATGTAAATTAGAGTCCTGTGTCAGCATTCTGAGTGCTTAGATGAGAGCCATCTACCACTACCACTTGTTTGAAAGCTGGATCCAGATGAAAATAAATGGAACTGTTTATTCTAGAATGCTTGCTAGACTGGTTGAGAGTTATTTTTTTTTTTTATAATGTATTTGATGTGCATTGCTGTTTTTGTCTGCATGTATGTCTGTGTGAGGGTGTCAGATCTTGGAGTTACAGACAGTTGTTAGCTTCCATGTGGGTGCTGGGAATTGAACCCGGGTCCTCTGGAAGAGCAGCCAGTGCTCTCAACCACTGAGTCATATCTCCAGCCCTGGTTGAGAATTTTTAAAAAAGTGAATCGTAATTACAAAACTCAGCTCCAGTTTGAAAAGTGGCTGTGGGTTCAAGTGCTGAGTTAAATTTGAAGTCTAAATAACCCTGACGGTTATTCCACTCTGAGTTTCTGAGTTATTATTTTAGTCATGACACAGTTTTCCCTAACCCCCCCCCCCATCTTCCACTCACAGAGCTGGGGAACAAAGCCCAGGCAGTTCACATGGACGTTTCTTACCCGGTCTTCTCCCAGGTGTGTCGGAAGAAGCACCCCACACTCCCCTCCGAGTGTAACGATGGGTTGCGGGCCAGAGTGTGGCAGTTGCACTGTTGGGACATGCAGAGGTGTCTTTGGGATTTGCTCGTCCCCAGCCTTCCGCTCTGCCCTCCGCACCCCTCCCGTCCACGGACCTCGCCGGGGCCACTCTCCGATGGTTCCTTGTTTCCGCAGCCCTTGCCTGTTCCTGCGCCGCCCGTCTGCTTATTCCCGCTTTGGCAAGTGGGAAAGTGAGAGTGTTTGGCCCAGCTAGAGATCACTGGAGGGCTTGGAGGGTTTCTTGGTTGTGACCTGATTAAAAACAATGTAGGCTGGGTGTGGCAGCTCACCCCGTCAGTCCCAGCATGTCTCTCAGGAGGCCAGCCTGGTCTACATATCAAGTTCCAGGAAAGCCAAGGAGATCTTGTCTCAAAACCAAACCAAACGAAACGAAAATAGAATGGCTGAGTAGGGCACTGCTGAGTAGGAAGGCTGAGAGTTTTATTGTACTCCATATAGGACTCTATATACTTCTGCCTCTTATAGATGTGGCAAACACACATATATACATACACACATAAACACCCACAAACAGACCAAAAGCATGTATAGTGCTGGAGGCCTGCTTTACCACTAAGCTGCATCTGCTACTTGGTCTTTTAAAGCATTGGTTTATTTAGACTTTGTATCTTTGAGAGCCAGTACTTCCTTAGGTTTTTGGTGGTACTAAGGATTGAATGAGGGCCTCAGCTTATTCCAAGAGCTCTTCTGCTAGCCCCACCCCAGCCCCCGTCACTGGTGGATGTAGTCAAGCTCCTAGAGCTCTTCACACCGCCTTGTTTATTACCCCCCCACACACCTTTTTTGAGATAGCATCTCACTGGGTAGCCTTGGCTGGCCTGGAATTCAGAGATCCAGTGAAATAAATGCCTGGTCTTAGTCGTAGACTTGATTTTTGCATTGCCTAGGCTTTGGACATGCTGAGCAAGGACTCTGTTACTGAGCTGCATCCTGGCCCTGGTCTTAGATTTCCTGACATTTAAAATTACATTATCTCATTTACGTTTTTTTGACTAAGGAGGATGGCAACATATGCCATATGATCACAGAAAGGGGAGGGAAGCCATGTATATAAAACACATTAACTCCATGCATTTCTTTTTCTCCTCTTCAGGACAGGGTTTCTTTGTAGCCCTGGCTGTTCTGGAACTCTTGTAGACTAGACTGGCCTCGAACTCAGAGATCTACCTGCCTCTGCCTCCCGAGTACTGGGACTAAAGGCGTGCACCACCATGCCCAGCTGTTTGTTTGAATGTTTTCTTTGGGAAGAATTTGCATAGATCTGGGCAAATCTCTTCCTAGCATAGAAGCACCATGTAGGAATTGTTGGCTCCTTTGTGAAGAAGCAGCCCCAGGCTGCATTTTCCAGTGTTGATCTGGGTTCTCACACATGCTGAGCCAGGCAGAGGCTCCCCTGAATGTCAACCCTGACTCTGAGCCCCAGATTCGCCAGTGCAATCTTCCCTGGTTTCCACATTTTCTCACTTGACAGTTTATTTGTGGAATATTCATACAAGTACATAAAATTAGCTTAGATTCCGCCACCCATTTAACAAATCATATTCATAGAAGAAAGTTGTCAAGGCGCTTGCCAGGCAAGCGTACGGACTGGGGCTTGCTCTTCAGCACCCATTTAGGACAGCCAGCTGCAGCAGAGACCGTCTGTGAGCCTACTGCTGGGGAGGTGAGGACAGCAGCAGTCCCACTCCAGCTGAGCCCTGAATTCCAGGTCCAGTGAAAGACTCTCAGAAACAGGTGGAGCGCTAGAGGAAGATCTCTGCTTCTCCACGATGACAGACATCCGTCACATACTCAGAAGGATGCAGTGGCACTAAGGTACAGCTCAACTTTAGCCTCCACGTTTACTGAATATATGGTTTTGCAGAGTGCATTCCCAGCAAAGAAATTTTTGTGGTGGCTAAGTATACACATAAACATCTAAAGTCAGTGTTTACAAAATACCAGTGTGGGGCTGGAGAGATGGCTCAGCAGTTAAGAGCACTTACTGCTCTTCCAGAGAACCTGCTTCTGTTCCTAGCACCCATGTTGGGCAGCTCACAGCCTGTTACTACCGCTCTGGGGTGTCTGATACCCTCTTCTGGCCTCTTCAGGCACCTGAATCACATGCACACACACACACAAACACAGACATATTTACTCATAAGTAAAAATAAATCAACCCCCTCCCCTAGATATCATTTCTTTCTGTAATAGCCTTGGCTGTCCTAGAACTCGCTCTGTGGATCAGGCTGACCTCGAACTTAAAGAGATCTTCCTGCCTCTGCCTCCTAAGTGCTGGGATCAAAGGTGTGCACCACCACCACCCATCATAAAAATAAACCTTAAAACACAAGAAATTCAGCTATGTGCTTTAAAAAACTATGTAAGATACATGTTAAGCATAAAAACTAAAATATATTAAAAAAGCAAAAGAAATGGAAATAAATGCATCACCACGCACAAATATACCACTAGTCACGGAAAAGCTGAAATGACTGCTAACTCACAAAATAAGACTTTGGAAAAGGCTGTGTCGTTTAGGCACAGTAGAGGCATACCATGATCAAAGGTGAGTTCAGAAGGAGTATTACAACACTTTAAAATGGTACACAATGACAAAGTTCCAAACTACGTGGGCGCTGCGACCCCAACTCTGGTCCTCCTGAAGAGCAGAAAGTGTACTTAACTGCCGACTCACCTCTCAGCCCCTACATTTTATTTTATTTTATTTTGTTGTGGTGCTGGGGATTGAACCCAGGGCTGTGTACCAGGCAGGGCTCTACCACTGAGCCACATCTCTAGATCTTAGGCAAAGCAAGTCTTGGTTTCTATACTTGTAAAAATAGGCATTTGGAATAAGGTTCATTCTGATGCTGTCCTAGTTACTATGCTTCATCAGAAAATAGGTTATTTTATTTAGTGCAGGGGTAATTAAAGCAGCTGGCTGAGAACTGAGCCACTTTTAATTTATCGGGTTTAGGTATGAAGTCCTTAGCCACATTCTCAGAACAGCCATTCAGGGTAGGGGTGCATCATAGGCTATTGCTGTTTCCTAGGCTACAGAAAGTCCACCCAGATGCAGGTCTTCAAACGCAGGTGACTTTAGTGTGTAGCGTAAGGTCAGAGAACACATTGATTGTATGCTGGCAGAGCAGGCTCCTCGTCAGGATGCTGGACTGTGGGCTTGAGAAGATGGTCAAGTCCGAGCCCAGGGCCTGAGCTGGATCCTGGAACCTGTGTTCAAAAGATTTGTAGGTGGTGTGTGCTTAAAGTCCCAGTGCTGGGAAGTGGAGCAGGTGAATTCCTGGGGCTCCCTGGCTAGCCAGCTTGATCTGTAAGTTCCAGGCCAATGGAGATTCGGTCTCAAAAACAAATTGAGCACCTTAAGAACAAATGGGAAATTGACCACTGGCTCCACACCTGTGCTCGTGTGCCTGGGAGTGCGCACTGGGATGAGGTGGGGAGGGTGTTGATTTTCTTTTTTTCTCTCTTGATTTTTGAGACAAGGTCTCATGTAGCCCAGACTCCAGTCATACTTGCTATAGCTGAGGATGGTCTTGAACCCCCGATCCTCTGGCTGGGATTACAGATGTGTGCCACCACACCTGGGAGCGGGCATCTTTTTGACTGTTTCCCTGGCCCTTCTAGATGAATAGGAGTTCCCCGTTGGATCCTGTTAGAGCCTCATTAGTGGGCTGTGCGTTCATCTCACTCACCCTGACCTTTAAAGCAGAGCTACTTAAATTTTCTACTCTTCACACCCCTTTGCCTGAGAATTTTTATGTGAGCCATGTATAGATTTAAAATCGGTACACAAATCAAACCTTTACTGATGAAAATTTATATTTTAAACAATTTTTGGCGTTCATACAATTTTACCTTTATTAAAGATGGGACCTGCTGGGCGGAGTGATGCATTCCTTTCATCTAATCCCAGTACTTCTGAAACTGAATTTGAGGCCAGCTTGGTCTACATGGCGACTTCCAGGCCAGCCCTGACTATCCAGTAAGACTTTGTCTTAGTTCCCTTGCCACACTCAGCCCATTCGAAGGGGGGTTGGGAGGGTTCTGGGTTTCAGCAGCCTAGCCCAGCCAGGGCTGCAGTCCCTGTAGTTCTGGCTTGGGCACCATGCGTTTCCCGGCAGTTCTTGCACATTTTTATTTTGAAGACAGGTTCTCACTGTAGTCTGGGCTCAGATTCACCAGCTGCTTTAGCACCCCAGGTGCCTTCCGACTTCTGGCTTCGGAGTTCTGTAGGTACCCCCACCTCCTTTTATTTTCCGAGACAGGATCTCATGCAGTCCAGTGGATGGAACTTCATACATAGTTGAGGGATTTCTGATCCTTTCTCTCTCAAGAGCTGTATTCTAGGCATGTACTACCACTCTCAGTTCATGGGACTCAGGGGATCAAGCCCAGGGCCTCTCTTAAAGCTTTCTTGACTGACCTACATCTCCAACCCTTGACTCTTTGAAAACCGTAGGAGTCATTTTACAGGGTCTGTGTCAACTTGGATCTGTCCATTTCTTTCTTCCTCATGGTTTCCCGGGTGAAGTGTTGAGGGCTGGGCTTAGTGATGTGTTTTCTTGGAGTTCTGTTGGGAGGTGTCTCCATGTCTGGAGTCAGTGTTGTCTTTCTCCCTTGGTTAAGATGGAGGCTCCTCTGTTTCACTTGGTGAAGAGATGGCACTTGGGGACAAGGACATGGTTGTCCAAGCCCGTAGTCTAACCCCCTCTGCTTTTCCTTCTAGGGTGTTGGGGATGGGCTTCAGCACTGACCGAAGTGCTGTGTCACGGAGCCACACCATATCCCTACCGCTGTTCTTAGGTTACAGCGGAAAGTGTGTTTGCCAATTGTATCAAGCGAACGTCAGCCTTTTATAATAAACATCAAGATTCCAAGATAAACCAATAGCATCAATAAACTACCTTAAACGTATCTCAAAACAGAAATTTTTTTTTTTTTTTTTTTTTTTTTTTTTTTTTTTTTTTTTTTTGGTTTTTCGAGACAGGGTTTCTCCACGTAGCTTTGCGCCTTTCCTGGAGCTCACTTGGTAGCCCAGGCTGGCCTCGAACTCACAGAGATCCGCCTGGCTCTGCCTCCCGAGTGCTGGGATTAAAGGCGTGCGCCACCAACGCCCGGCCTCAAAACAGAAATTTAAAAACACATTTTTAATAAAAATTACTAAGGAAACAGATTAAATGGAAGTGTGTTTCTAAACTGTTGAGTGTTTGTTGGCGTTTGGGTTATGAGGAGCAGGTGCTTTTGGGTCAGTGCCTGGTAACTGTAGACAACAAGGGGTGTCTAGCACACACCCTTGATAGTACAGGGAGGAGGAAGGCTTGGCAGCCTGAGGTGTTGCTGGAATATAATGGTTCACTGTTGAGAGCCCAGCACACTGCAGTGTGGCTGAACTTGTTAGGACAGCAGTGGGCCTGACTGTTAGTCTGTCTTTGTGTCGTAGGCATCATTTTAGAACAAAGTGAGCGACATTTTAGAAGATGGATTTTTACTTTATGGAGGACTGACCATTTTGTCCTTTTTTGTTATGTTTTGTTTTTTCAAGACAGGGTTTCTCGGTGTAGTTTTGGTGCCTGTCTTGGATCTCGCTCTGTAGACCAGGCTGGCCTGGAACTCACAGAGATCCGCCTGCCTCTGCTCCCGAGTGCTGGGACTAAAGGTGTGCGCCACCACTGCCCGTACTAACCATTTTGAAGTATCTTATAAATAAAAGTTTCGGAGCTGAAGAAATGGCTCAGTGGTTAAGAGCATCGGCTGCTGTTCCAGAGCACCTGGAGCCCCAGCACACACATGGCAGCTCACAACTCTCTGACTCCAGCTCCAGGGGACCTGACACCAAGAAAAGAAAAAACATTTCTTGAAGTTGAAGATCTCATTTTAGTTTTTCCTTACAATTAAGTGGTAGTTAAGTTATTCAGGATTTTTCTTGTCTCTTTTAGCCTTTTAATTTTGTAGTGAGTTTAGCAACTTAAATGATTTGATAAAATTTGGAGTGTTTTGTGTGTGTGTGTGTGTGTGTGTGTGTGTGTGTGTGTTTGAGACAGGGTCTTTCTGTATAGCCCTGGCTATCCTGGAAATCAATATGTAGATCAGGCTGGCCTCAATCAGACATCTGCCAGCCTCGTCCTCCTGAGTTCTGGGATTAGAGCTGTGTGCCAGCACCTTGGGTCTAAGTGCTCTTACTTTTTTTTTTTTTTTTTTTTTTTCTGAGACAGGGTTTCTCTGTGTAGTTTTGGTGCCTGTCCTGGATCTTGCTCTATAGAGCAGGTTGGCCATGAACTCACCTGGCCCCTCCTTGAGCACTGGGGTTAAAGGCGTGCACCACCACTATCCCCGACTAGTGCTCTTACTCTTAACCCTTGAGCCAACCCTCCGCTCCCCATCTCTTTTTGTCCGAATGGTGATAATGTCCTAATCTTTACAAGCTCTCTTCCTTTGGCTCATGATAAAAGCAGAAATATAGTCAGGACAGGTTGACATGGAATTCATTACTGATCAGAACTCTGAGGACACAGATGAACCTGATCCCTGATACTCCTCTCCACCAGGAAACAGAAGAAGCTCTGAGAGAATGGACGGTGTCTGTTTTCAGAGCTGAGAGGAGGCACCTCATCTATTAGACAGCAGCCTCCTGGGTTGGCAGACGGCACAGCACAGAGAAATCATAGCGGGGGAGTACAGAGGGCATAAGAAAACTGCTCCTGCAGACCCCCATCAGGAGACCCAAGGTCCAGAAGAGGTGGCAGCTGGGGCACTCCCGCACGTGACCCTCACCACTCCTGTTCTGGCCTTGTGTGATTTGGGGTCGCTGGGTGGGAAAAGCCAGGGACAAGCAGTGGGTAGTTCCCAGGATGCTTGGCCTGGAGTAGCAGGATGTGGGCTCCAATAGGCTGGATGGGGCTCCTTCCTGTGTCCGGTGCTTGCTTAGCTGCCCTGGCCTCGGATCCTGGTCCCTGGGGTTCACATAATTTCCGTGTGCTTTAACAATGGCCGAGTACTACAAGTACTACAAGTACTCGTAACTACAAGTAACAACCAGAGTATTGTCTGCCTGCATGTGTTTGAGGAACTTCCGGGGGGCCTCCATTGAGTGAGAAGGTACAGGTCCTGACTACAGTAAGAGCAGATCTTGCATCTGACAGTTCAATTGGTGAAGGAGAGGGAAATCAACACCATGTTTGTGGCTCTGTAGACCGCTAATGTCATGGCCACCGTGTGAGGCAGGTGCCTGGTGCAGATGGCGAAGGCACTGAGCCTGTGGGTGGAGGACACACCCTGCCCCCGGGTGCACAGCTGTGACAACAGGCCAGGTGCCTGTCACCCCAGGAAGGGCTGGCTGCACAGATTCTGCGGCAGGTTGGCACTACAGAACCCAAAAGCCACTGCAGACGTGGCACCAGCCCAGGCATTGGCTCTGTTTTGTGCACGGTGGCGGAAGTTGGCCAGAGAGCGAGGATGCCACCCATCCCAGGCCAGTCTTCATTTCCATGACAGGCGGCCTAAGGGTGAGTACGCAGGGATGACCCCACTTGGCTGTCCTTCCTCACAGTGCATTTCGAAATTGCTGTCAGTCTCACTGGGCCTGGGTCACAGTGAAGCTTTGTCCTGGGTGTGTCTGAGCAGGAACAAACCAGGATCTGCAGGGTTTGCCCTGTCCCCGGTGGTGGTGGTGGTGGTGATGATGATGATGATGATGATGAAGACGAGGAGGAGGAGGTGGAGGTCCTCCTGGTGCCTGGCCTGCTTTTCCATCTCTTTCCCATGATACTGCTGCTGCCTTTGCTTTGTGAGAAGTGTTCAGTTTGCAGTGGACTGGTGCTGATCACAGCTGGTCCTGGGTTATCCTCTGTGGCTAGTCACTGAAATTGGTCCAGCCTAGGCTCCTGACTAACACATTGTTTTTTGCCGTGGGGTCATGGTAGAAGCATTGGCAAGCTTGTGGCCTGAGGCTCTTGTTTGTGCTTTGGGTGGGAATGGAGAAGACAGACAATATATTTTTTGTTCTTGAGCCTAGCTGTACATGGAATCCATGCAACCTAGAGATATTAACTAAATTAATAAAACTGCTTTTATACTTGAGTTGGCCTGAGTTGGGAATTTGTAATCTCACAATTTAAGATCTGCCTGATAATTCATACTGTTATTTAGACAATAAATATATTTACAGCAGGGCTAGAGAGTTGGCTCAGTGGTTACGAACACTTGTTTTTCTAAAAGACCTGGGTTTGATCCCAGTACCCACATTTTGGCTAACAACTAACTCCAGTCCTGGGGGATCTGATACCCTTTTCTGACCTCTGTGGGCACATAACACACATACATACATACAGGCAAAACATTCATACACATAAAATAATAACTCCAGCTGGGCATGGTGGCACATGCCTTTAATCCCAGGAGGGAGGCAGAGACAGGCAGCTCTCTGAGTTAGTCTGGTCTACGGAGTAAGTTTTAGGGCAGCCAGGGCACACAGAGAAATCCTGTCTTGAAAAAGAGAAGGGGGAGAGATATGTACAACAAAGAATATTTAAGGCACTAGTCATTCTTACTGAAAACAACTGAGAGTGCTCTGAAATTATAAAATCTTTAAAAAAAAAAAAACAGCCGGGCGGTGGTGGCGCACGCCTTTAATCCCAGCACTCGGGAGGCAGAAGCAGGCGGATCTCTGTGAGTTTGAGGCCAGCCTGGGCTACCAAGTGAGATCCAGGAAAGGCGCAAAGCTACACAAGAGAAACCCTGTCTCGGAAAACCAAAAAAAAAAAAAAAAAAACAAAAAAAACCCAAAAAACAAACCTAAGAGGGTGGAGAGATGTCTCAGTCGTTAAGAGCTCTTTGTCTGCTCTCGCAGAGAAATAGGGTTCAATTCCTATCACCCACATGGTGGTTCAATCATCTGTAACTCCAGTTCTAGGGGATCTGATGTCCTCTTCTGACCTCCATGGGCACCAGGCATGTACGTGGTACATATAAATACATACACATAATAAAAATCTAAAATAATTAAAGAAACAACCCAAGAAATGTTCCCCCAGAGAGGCATTTGGAGAGAAGAGGAAGAGGGCGCAGCTGGACAGCGCACTTAGAGCCGTTCTCCACACAAGACACGCAGTCAAGGGAACGAGAGTGCCAGTAGTGGAAATGGGAGCCCCCCATGCTCTGTTTGGGAAGGAAGCATGTTGGGGTAAGAAGTTGAGAAATCAGCACAGGCATCGAAGTCGTTGGTCAGACGGAGGACGCTTCAGGTGAGATCCAGCGGGCAGGGCTGCTGAGGACCCTTGTTTGTGGTGATTCCGGAGGAAGCGGCTTCATTCTGACTTCAGATTGTAAACAGCTTTACAAAATTAAGGTATCAGCACATAAAGACAAAGTTAAATAAACAAATGTGTAAGTGTAGGAAATATGAGCAAGAACCACTAGAAATAGCAAACAACTCTGTCCAGACTGGAGGTCTTTTAGTCACCAGAGACTTGTGAAAATTCTTTTAGGTCTGAACAAATCTAAGACATTTTTAGGGGTAGGAATGTCACAAACGTGACTGAAGTAAGTGAAATGGAGGGTAGGTTAGAAGAAGTGTGGTTCAGCAGCGAGGGAAGGATGAGCAATGGTGAGATGGCGAGAGACCTGGGGTGAAGGTATCCACTATGTACAGGGAAGCTGGGCCGCCTTCTTGTTTTGAGACAGGCTCTCACTTTGTGGCCCTGCCTGGCCTGTGCCTCCCGAGTGTGCGGTTAAAGGTGTGAGCCACGACGCCCGGCTCAGGCTGAGGCTTCATGGGAGACGGAGAATGGCAGTCTGAAGAGGTGGTGGCCGAGTTTCCCCCAGCCAGACATATATAAGTATAGCCCATCGTTAGCCCTGTGAGTAACAAACATGGAGTGAAAAGAAATCTGCCCTAGAGACAAGGTGACGCCATAGAG